GTTAAGCCCACTGTTGAGCTCAGAAGAAAAAAATTCCTTTCAAATATCACTGCTTATTGACAACACACCTGATCACCCAAATTCTGACCAAATTCTCAATGCACAATGAGATTCATGTGGTTTTCATGCTTATTAATACAACATCCATTCTACAGCCCATGGATTAAGGGGAAATTCTGACCTTCAAGTTGTGTTATTTAAGGAATACATTTCATAAGGCTGTGGCTGCCATAGACAGTGATTTTCTCTGCTGGATCTGGGCAAAGTAAAGTGAAAACCCTCTCCAAAGAATCCACCACTCCAAAGGTCATTAAGAACATTCAAGAACCATAGGAAGAGGCTGAAATATCAACATTAGTGGGAGTTTTCAAAGAAGTTGATTCCAACCTTCCTGGATGACTTTGAAGGATTCAGGACTTCAGTGGACAAAGTGACTGTGGATGTGGTGGGAACAGCAAGAGAAGTAGAATCAGAAGTGGAGCCTGAAGATGGGACTGCACTGGCGCCATCTTACAATAAACCTTAACAGATGAGGAGTTGCTTCTTATGGATGAACGAAAAAAGTGGTTGTTCTGGAGATGGAATCTACTGGTAAAGATGCTGAGGAGACTGTGGAAATGACAACAAATGATACAGATTTTTACAGAAACTTAGTTGATAAAACAGCAGCAGGGTTTGAGAGGACTGATTACAATTTTGAAAGAAGTTCTGCTGTGGATAAAATGTAGGCCAAAAATGTTATATGCTACAGAAAAAATCGTTTGTTAAAGGAAGAGTCCATCGATGTGGCAAAGTTCACTGTCTTTTTAAAAAATTATTATTATTATTATTATTATTATTATTAACATATAATGTATTGTTTATTTTAGGGGTACCGGTCTGTGATTCATCAGTCTTACACAATACACAGCGCTCACAAAACATACAGTTCATTGTTGTCTTAAAAAAAGGCATAGCGGGGCGCCTGGGTGGCTCAGTGGGTTAAGCCGCTGCCTTCGGCTCAGGTCATGATCTCGGAGTCCTGGGATCGAGCCCCGCATCGGGCTCTCTGCTCAGCAGGGAGCCTGCTTCCTCCTCTCTCTCTGCCTGCCTCTCTGCCTGCTTGTGATCTCTCTATCAAATAAATAAATAAAATCTTTAAAAAAAAAAAAAAAAAAAAAAGGCATAGCCTTCAGCAGCTACCACCCTGATCAGTCAGCAGCCATCAACACTGAGGCAAGACCCTCCATCAGCAAAGAGATTACCACTTGCTGAAGGCTAGATGATGGCTAGCATTTTTAGCAATATATTTTTTAAAGATTTTATTTATGTATTTGACAGAGAGAGAGCAAGCTGGTGTGAGAGAGCACGAGCAGGAGGAATGGCAGGCAGAGGGAGAAGCAGGCTCTCCCCTGAGCAGGGAGCCCTATGCGGGACTCAATCTCAGGGCCCTGGGATCATGATCTGAGCCAAAGGCAGACACTTAACTAACTGAGCCACCCAGGCACCCCAATGAAGTATTTTTTAATAAAGATATGTACACCTTTTTTTTTTTTTTTAAGATTTATTTATTTCTTTGAGAGAGAAAGGGAGAGAGCGCATATGCAGGGGTAAGGAGCAGAGGGCCAGGGAGAAAGAGTCTTAAGCAGACTCCACACTGAGCGTAGAACCCCACACGGGGTTAGATCTCATGACCCTAAGATCAGACCTTAGCCAAAACCAAGAGTCAGATGCTTAACTAACTGACTGTGCCACCCAGCTGTCCCGTATGTAGTACACCTTTTAGACACAATGCTATTGCACACTTAATAGACATAGTATAGTGTAAAGATATGCACTGGGAAACCAAAAACTTCATTAGGCTTGCTTAATTGCAATATCTGGAACAGAACTGGCAGTATTTTCTGCCTATAAAGTACTTTGGGTAAAGTTCAGAAAGTCACAGAGTAATACTTCATGTTGGGAGGAGCCTATAGCGTATATTTTCAGAATCATATCTATCAAATTATATTTCGGCATACAACCTTTAGAAGGCAGTCAGTACATATTTGTTCAGAGAAACAAAAAGGAATAAATTATGTATATCACTATTTCTCAAAGGGAGATTATTGGCATTTTGAGTGAGACAATTAGTTGCTCTACAAATCTATCTCTGAATTACAGGACATTTAACAATACTGGCCTCCAAAATACCAAATACCAAACACCATCCTCCCCTTTGCTGTGTACTCTACTTCCTGACAGTTCTAAATGCCTGTGGGAAGAGGACAAACACTAAGAATCACTGCAATGTGTGAATTAATTATACATAAATGAAAAGGAATATAAAATATAAAATCCTTACTTTAAAGGAAATCACAATTTAGGCAAGTCAAAGCATACCATTTTAATAAGTTGTTTTCTAAAGTATCTCATTTTAGATTCAGATTCAGAACAACTATTCTTAAATCTGTTATGTCAATAAGAAAGAATATAAAGAAGTGTTTTCAGAATGGAAAAAGTTGACTTTTTTCTTTTCTCAGATCAAGTGAAGATTTTATTTATTTATTTGAGAAAGAGTGAAAGCGATCAGAGGCAGAGAAAGAAGCAGACTCACGGCTGAGCGGGACAGCCCAATGTGGAGCTAGATCCAAGAACCCTGGGATCATGACCTGAGCCAAAGGCAGATGCTTAACCAACTGAGCCACTCAGGCGCCCTGGAAAAACTTCACTTGATGAACACACAGGTAGCAAATAATTCTCAAAATGGCCTGAGGTAGGTCCAGACCAGGAGCCAGAAGTTGATGAAAAGGTTCCCTTCATTGGAACAGAATGGAGGAAGACACTTGGTAAGGGAAAAATAGCAAACTTTAGGGAGTGGTTACTTTGCCAGGCAATATTCTGAGCACTCTGAGTGAACCATCTAATCCTCACAGCGATTCTACATGACAGGTTACAGATATTATTCACATCTTGCAAATAATAAAATGCTTTGGAGAGTGATCATACAACCTGACGAGACCACAGAGATCCAAGTAGTTGAGCCTAGGACTTAATCACGCCTGAAGTCAATTTCTGTAATGCTGGTCCTAAAAGCCTACCAAAGTGTTTCATTTCTGCCTTGCCCTTTACAAAGCCCATCATCTAATAAGTCATTCCACTTCAAACTCCTTAAGTAGATTTCCAATTCCAGATTTTTTGCTGATAAAATGTTTAATCAATTTTATGACTTCCTTGTTTATAAACTGTTCATTTAAGAAGAAACTAGAGTCTAATATTTAATTGGCATGGTTAGTGATTATGGGCACCATATGTTGAGTTCTTTGGCAAATACCTTTAATTTCCTTGCAAAACGCAGCCTTAAACAGTCATCCACCTACTCTGTGCTTGATCATGGAGACTGAAACCCTTCTAGTAAATCTAATACACAAAAAAGCAGAAGGTACCACTATAAACCCATGATCATTAACCTCACTGGAGTCCTCAACACTGCCAGCAGCCTTACTATATTTTTCAAGTTAGTTCAGTCTCTCAGTTTGAAAGGGTATTTCAAATCTTCCTCTCCATGGACACTTCCATGCCCCATTTACTCAGCTGATCTTCAAGAACTGAGTTGCCCTATATTAATTACTTAAGGGAAATGAAAGCCTTCATAAAAGAGCTTTTTTGATCTTCTACCAACAGAGGTAAGTATCTGAATGAACCCCTACTTGTCCTTTCTGTCAATGGAGGAAACATCTCTGCTGTGGGGGTGGGAAGGTCTATCTTTCCATGTGCTTTGGCATCCACATCCTAATTCCTTCTCAAATATCAGACCCAATTGATTATCCTCTTCATATCTACAATCTTTCTCTCTTAACTAAATCCTATCTCTAGGTATTAAAATGCGCTTCTAGCACTTTCAACATAAAAATAACAAAAAATTAATAATCTCCAAATATGTCACTTGACCCCAAAATTCTGCCCCCCCATCCTCTTCTTACTCCCTAGTAACCATCCTTCTTTTAACTACCATTCACAACTGAACTCAGGAAAGAGTTGTCTGCTATGAGTATCTTTACTTCCTCATTTCCATTTATTCTTCTACCACTCTGGTCTGGCACCATTCCACTCCAGTCCCTTAATGGCTCTTAAGAAATAACTTCCCTACCACTATGTCCAGTGGGCAGTCTTTTTAAATTAATTATTATTTTTAATTTAAATTCAATTAACATAGAATATATTATTTGTTTCATGGGTACAGGTCTGTCATTCATCTGTCTTATATAATACCCAGTGCTCATTACAACACATACCCTCCCCAACGTCCATCACCTAGTTTCACCATCCCTCCATCCCCCTCCCCTCCAGCAGCCCTCCCTTTGTTTCCTATGATTAAGCATCTCTTATGGTTTGTCTCCCTCTCTACTTTCATCTTCTTTCATTTTTTCCTCTCTTCCCCTATGATCCTCTGCCTTGTTTCTTAAATTCCACATATCAGTGAGATCATATGATAATTATTTCTCTGATTGATTTATTTCACTTAGCATAGTACCCTCTAGTTCCACCCATGTCATTGCAAATGGTAAGATCTCATCTTTTTGATGGCTGCATAATATTCCTGGTGAGTGTGTGTGTGTGTGTGTGTGTGTGTGTGTGTGTGTATCACATTCATTCCATTATCTATCACATCTTTATCCATTCATCTTCCAATGGGCACTCTTGACCTTCATCTTAGTTTCCCTCTAAGTGTCATTGGCCCCATTCCTGCTTACTTAAAATCTTTCCTCTTAGCTTCTGGAACACTACTTGCTTGATTTGCTTTTTTCTTTCTAGCCATTCATTCTCTGTTGTATTTGCAGGTTCGTCTCCTCCTACTCTACCTGTAAATCCTACATTTTTCACAGGACTCTGTCCTAGAACCTCTTCTTGTCTTATTCTCTACTTTTCCCCACAACGGTCTCACCTAGCTCCATGGATTCTAATACTACCTCTATGAGAATTATTCCATATTCATATTTAGATTGATGTCACTTAATACTAAACTATGATGACAAGCTTACCTGCATTTGTGCAACTGTTTTCCCAAAAATTTTTCTTTCTTTAACATAAGTCCTGGTTTCTTCAAACATGAATTCACTGGCTGAAACTGCCAGGTCAGCAATCACTAGCCTTTCCTAGAACCCAAAATTAGGTCTTAAGCATCATTCTAATTCCACAAGTGATTTTCACATGATTTCAATGATAATAAATCTCATAATCTTTATGAAACTCCTAAAAATTAATCTCTTACTTCTAGAAGAAAATGCTCCCACAAAGATTTATAAGAATATTTTGACATCTCCATAATAACTCTCTAAAACAAATCCTTTATTTTTATAAATGACTGTCTTTACTACCTATAGATATATACATAATTTATTTCATTCCTTCTCATCACTCATCAATGAAAAGAGAAATATGAAATTGTTGATTTTTATTGATCTCTGCACATTAATGTCCTAATTGGTCTGTGAAAATCAATATCTCAAAGGGTACAGGTTAAATTCTGTCTATTAGTGCAAAAGTATCCACAACCAGTTTAAATCCATCTTGCTGGTGATTTCTTTTTCTATTTCTATGGCAGTGTTTCTAGCCTTGTCCCCAATTTCATGTTTAGCCCAGGCTGAGGCAGTTAGTAGGCATATGCACCTATGCTCATATGCTAGTATGTGAGACTCAGTGACGCTCAGCTAGCACACTCCAAAAACACAGAGGTGAGGGCTGACCTTATGGGGTATGAACTCAACAACTTTCTCCTTTGATTCTCAGGTATTACAAAAAATCCTGCCAAATGTTTTGGCTGACCATTCCTTATAAGGAGCTAAGAATTCTTGACTTGTAGTTAAGAAGCTAAAATGATTCTAAGAGGGTATCATAGTCATGAAATACGTAATTTCCCTACTCACCTATAAGCTTTGATTGGATATCCCTGAGTTTAGTTATTTACTTATCTAGCCTACAAAACTCAGGTGTTTTTTTTTGTTGTTGTTTTTTACAACTTTAAGCTATACTCAAATGACTGACTGTATCATAAGTTTTATATATGTGAATTTCCATAGTTCTATGTTATTGCATTCGACTTCATTAGCTAATCAAAAGACGGACTCTTTAATAATTCTGACCTGTGGAAGCTCTTTCATGAGGTAATAGAAGCCTTTATTCTCTTCTCCAATTAGGGCACTAGCTGGCAACCGGACATCTTCAAAGAATAATTCTGCAGTATCCTAATGGATCACACAATTAAGTACAGAATTATTTCACTCAAGTCTCCCAACAAACCAATGAGGTAATGATTATTTTCATTTAAGAAAACAAAAAGAAGAACAAAAACTAGAAGCCAAGTTGGAGTGGTTAATATTACGATGTGGAAGTGGTAAACCAGGTATGCAAAGCCAGGTTCACCTGATTCCAAAAACTGGTGGCCTTCTCACAACACACTGTCATTCTAGCTCCAATCTTGTCCAGTTGTATATGTACCAAGAGCTAAGGGTTTCTAATGCAAAGTAAAACATGTTTTTCTTTTTTGGTGATGAAAAAACTACAAGATAATTACCAAATAATAAAAAAATATTTTCTCCTCTTATTTCATAATTTTCTTCAATCAGTTTAATAGGTCTACCAACATATAATTAATTTTGCCATTAATGAAGCAGATATTCAAAATACCTTGATTCACTTCTGCTGCTGAATAACAGAAAGAGATACAGTTAGATAAATGGAATAAATCTCTCTTAACATTTCTGAAAAGCGTATCTTAGGAATTTTGCATAAGAAGATATGATTTGATATACATCCATCAAAATTATAGAACTACATAGTTCTATTAAGTCATAATTGAGTAAGCTCAATTATTTATAATTAATAATTTATAGTGTGACTTACCTGGGCTTTTTGTCCCATTTTTTGTAGCTTTCTTCCCTTGATAAATCCTTTCATTCCATTTTCCACCAGAAAAAGGCTAATGCCATGGGCAGGAGAGAGAGCTTCACGATTTGTGACTGTCACTACAATCACAATGTCACTCAGCCACCCATTGGAGATGAACACCTGCAACCCCAAATATACTGTGATGTTCCACAATGAATCAGATCCATGTATAAGTCATGATTGGAAGGAAGTATATTAAAAAAAAAAAAAGAAAGTATATTCAAGAAGACTATATCAGACAAGACACACTTTATGCCTCTCTTTGTACTCTAGCCAAGGCTCTGCAGTGTTAATAACCTATAGGAGGTTATTAAAGAGCACAAGGAAAACAGCCCAATACTTCAAAGAATGAACCCAGTGCATTTTCATTCCACAACTAATACTATAAATAATAATGAACACAGCTTATTATATCCTTTCCAAATTAAAACAGAATTATCTATAAAAATGATAAAATGACAAACTTTATTTATTTGAGAGAGAGAGAATGAGACAGAAAGAGCACAAGACAGGTGAGGGGCAGAAAGAGAAACAGACGACTCCCCATCGAACAGGGACACCGTGGCCCTGCGTCCCCCGATGTGGGACTCAATCCTAGGACTCTAGGATCATGACCTGAGCTGAAGGCAGTCGCTTAACCAACTGAGCTACCCTGGTGCCTGATAAACTGTATTTTAGAAAGAAGCTGCAGATGAGAAAAGGGAATCTGTTTTAAATGACACTATACTATTAAAGAACAATTATATTCTAAAATCCACAGTGCTATACATACAAATAATGGGAAATAAGCTACTGATATGAGGCTTGTCTACATGATAGCAAGTGAAGGGGGACATGGTTATATGTTGACACAATAATCAAAGACCCTCAACATCTCTCTGTATAAGGAGATCCTTGAGCGAAGGGAGTATTTCCTACTCATATACCTACCAGTAGTGCCTAGAATAGCATTTGGCATATAGAAGGCCTTCAAGGATATTTGTTGACTAAATGAGAAAAATGTATTCCAGAAAATAAATTCTATACATCATGGCAAAACTACTTTTTCTACAGTGTTGCTCCATTACACCACTTGTTCAAAAACCTTTCAGGTCTCCCAGTTTCGTACCTTTTTAAGATTATAATGGCCATCTGTGTAGTTGCCACAGCTGAATTGCCCACAGTGCCTTTTTTTGTTTTGATTAGTGCCTGTATCCTCTAAATCCAGGCCTCAGACATATACCAACAGACATTACTATACATAAAGACAAACAACGGAATGAAAGGAAAGAAGGAACTGTTTACAGGGCAAAAACTGTTCACTTAATGCTGATTTCAATTTGGTAAAATTGAATGGAGTTCTTCAACAGTTTTTCTTGGACATAATTGTGGAAAACTGTTAATAGATTCTGAACCATTTCTGCAATAGTCTGACAGAATGTAAGTATTTCCAGCATGACTGATCTCCTTTTCTTATAAAATTATAACAGAATTCTCTCTGTAAAAAAGACTTTCTCAATTTCTTTCCTAATCATAACAGTCAAAATTTTTAATAGGGCTGGTGGTATCCTTAATGAGTGCCATCATTTTTTATTTTTTAATTTTCTGGTATAATAGAAATTGTAGATGTCATTATATTATAATTGTCATTGTAGATGTTACATAGATAGTGTATTGTGATAAAGAAAAGGAGGGTGCCTGGGTGGCTCAGTGGGTTAAAGCCTCTGCCTTCGGCTCAGGTCATGGTCCCAGGGTCCTGGGATCGAGGCCCGCATCGGGCTCTCTGCTCAGCAGGGAGCCTGCTTCCTCCTCTCTGACTGCCTCTCCACCTACTTGTGATCTCTCTCTCTCTGTCAAATAACTAAATAAATCTTTAAAAAAAAAAAAAAAGAAAAGGAAAAAAAATCCTCCATGAGTCCATCATACAAATAGCATTATGAATTTCCTTTCTGGTCTTTTTTCTTTTAACATAGTTGAAATTTATAGGCATTTTCACTTAAATGTTAATATGATCTCTTCACTTAATGTAATTATTTTTCTATACCATTAAAAACTTCATATTGATGCTTTAATAGGTGCATCTTATTGATGTACTATATTTACTTATTTATTCCTTTACTTTTGCTTTCTTTCAATTTTTTGTTATGTCTAACAGAGATCTGGAAGCAGTCAGTGGTGTTATCTTGGGTGGTTCACACAGAAGACCTGCTTAGAAAGCTGGAGTCATAGGAGAAAGGGTTCCCATTTTATTTTTGACCAAATATCCTAGTCTTCTGTGGTCCTCTGTGGGCAGAGGTAAGTGATCATATACTAGAATCAGGACATATTTATTATCATTCTTAGGATGAATAATTTAGACTAAAATTCTTAAAGTATATTTGGGAAAACACCAGTGACTCAAGATAATCTGAAGAGAATTTCCTAGGGCATAAGACATACTGTATCCGACTTTTAGAGGTTCACAATGCATATCAGCATATCAAAGGATGAGAAGCTGCACACATTTTCTGAATTTATTTGATACCACAGATACTATTTTTCAGTATAACAACTATGAAACTAGATTATGGAATGGTCTTTAGAACTGCGCTACTCCAAATGTGTTATTCAGACCAATGTGAGCCCACAAACTGTTCTTAGTCCTTGACAGTGTTAAGTACAGAAATCAAGAGTGCTTACAAAATCTTACAGTGATTTGACAGTATAACACTTAAACTTGTGATTTTGTAAGTGCGAGTTATTAATCTAAAACTAATTAGAATTTTTTTCAAAAAATTCAAAGAAAACAAACATATTTAGTTCTTCAACAGGCTTTGAAACAATTTTTGGAAAGGCCTCCTTAATGTAAAAGATAAACATCTTTCCTTCACTTAACTCTCAATCAGCAATAAATATTTACTGAGTTTATACCAGACACAGCTTTAGGTAAACAAAATCCTCTGCCATCAGTAATATTAGATTCTAAGGGACGTATTTACTCCTAAGCCTGTCTGTAACCTTAACTGGAGAGCTTTCCAATTTTATCTGGGTTGATGTGACTCTCAGATTGAAGAACTCTCAAATTCTATCAAAGAATTCTATCAAATTCTTTCTCTACAAAAAACTTTTGAAACTCTTCTTGATATTTGTAAGAAAATCTTATCTCCAATTTTTCATGAATATTAAGTTTATTAATTATTGTTTGTCTCATATTTGGACAATACAAGCCTTTCCTCTCTCTTTTGTGGCTTGAGAAGTGCTATTTGGAAGCGAAAACATTTTCCATATTAGGGAGGAGAGCATGACAAATGGAACATAGAAGAGGCACAGATCTCATTTAATACAAATGTTGCAAAATTCTTACAAGACAAAACTTGAATAAAAATTCTTCTCCTGAGTCCATAGATCTGAGAGAATCAACAATGAGTAAGCATTAAGACTCTTGGCATGACTGAGGAGAGAAGGGCTGTGGAAGCCTCTCTTTACACACCTTGCTTCCATTGAGAATCCAGTCACTTCCATCCTTTTTGGCATTTGTTCTTATTCCTTGCAAATCACTACAATTGGAAAAAAGTGAAGTATAATGAAAAGAAATTCATTAGTTGGTTAAAAACTGCATTATCAAAAAGATCTTACATAAGTATGTCTATAATGTGATAATTCAAACTGTTTATACCATGATAGAAATTGACTTCTAATATTAGAAATTTCATACAAATGCACTGAAAAATCACATCTGATGTATCATTTTCTAAACCAATTATACAAATGTATATGATTAAGATTACATAAACTAGTCAGCTTTTATAGAGCATAAAAATTCCAAGTAGCATTCAAGACCTCCACATTAGACTCAGATGACATCTTAAAGCCCACTATATTTGAGATTATTTGCCACCACGTACCTGCCTGCCTCCATTCACCTTGGATCCTTCCCCTATCTCTACTGATCAAAACTTAGCTAGTCAATCACTTCTCGGCCTTTTGGCTAAGATCAAGTGTAAAATTTAGCTATTTAAAAGACGATGTCTCAAATGCTTCCTCTAACAAGCCTGCTCTAAAAGTGGAATAGATTATTTTTTAATAAAAAATAAACAAATGTTCACAAATGAAATATGAAAGGCACAGACAATATTCCAGACCAAAAAAATATTGAAAACAATTTTATCTCCTGGAATAAACATTTCTAAAAATACAACCTTCCATCATTTTTTCAACGGAAACAGATACACACATGTATGTATTTTTATAAAATTATATGCTTTCGACCTCCAAATAAGATCTAATGCTTTTCCATAAGATCATTTATATCATCAGCATAGAATTACATTGTATAGATTTATCATGATTTTTTAAAACAATCTATTTGGGTAGTTTCCAATTTTTTGTAAATATCCTACAAAAATAACATCATGTATAAAGAATCTACATCACTTATCCTAATCCTTGGAACCTTATATAGAAAAAGGGTTTTGCAGAAGTGATTAATTTAAGGCTCTCAAGATGGGGAGATTATCTTGGGTTATCTGATGGAGGGACTTAAACGCAACTGTCCTTATGAAAGAGAGGCAGACAGAGATTAAACACACAGAAAAGGAGGAGCAATGTTACCACAGAAGCAGGCTGGAATGATAAGATCACAAGGCCATGAATCGTGTCAGACACCAGGAAATGGAAGAAGCAAGGAATGGATTCTGCCCTAGAACATCTAGAGGAAGTGTAGCCCTACTGATACCTTGATTTGGGCCGATTTACACTAATTTTGAACTTCTGGACTTCAGAACTGTGAGAGAATGAATTTCTGCCTTTTTAAGCACCAAGTTTGGGGTAATTTGTTATGGAAACCATAGGAAAATAACACACTCTCTTACAGCATTTATCTTGTATTTCAGTGACTAATTAAAAAGATCTTACCTTTCTTGCCTACCCCACTTATCAGACTCAAACCTTCTGAGGACATGCTGTAGATCAAGCTTATATGCCCTTCATATAGCATACTGAATATATTTGAATATATTTGAATATAACAGGCACTCAAATGGGACACTTGGGTGGCTTAGCTGGTTAGGCTTCTGCCTCCAGCTGAGGTCATGATCCCAGGGTCCTAGGATAGAGTTCCGTGTTAGGCTCCTTGCTTACCAGGGAGCCTGCTTCTCCCTCTGCCCGACTCACCCCCTGCTTGTGCTCTATCTGTCTGACAAATAAATAAATAGGTCTCAGGCTGCTATCCTTAAAAAGGCCTGATTATAAGTTTGGCTTTTGGTTGGCATCTATGAATTTGGCAGGAGGGTTCCCACCAATCCCAGATCAGAGAAGAGTGATGCACTATGTACCTAAACGGTTTGAACAAATAATGATTTATGTTAAACACTTGTTTGCTTTTTGGCATCTCAACTTTTGCCACATGCCAGACAAACAGTATCTATGTGATCAACTTCCAATAAAATTCTCGGTACTGAGAGTCTAATGACCTACCCCAGTAAATAACATTTCATAAGTATTCTCAGAACTTGTCACTAAAGGAATTAAACAAGTCCTGTGGAACTCCATTAAAAGAGAGCTCTTGGAATTCTATGAATTTCAGTCCATGAGACTTTTAGTTTTACTGATTCTGTTTTGTATTCTTTCACTGAAATAAATTACAGTGAATACAATTAGAAGCTGAATCTTGTGACTTCTAACAAATCACTGAACCTGGAGGTGATCCTGGGGACACCAGACATTGGAAACATGGCCACCTGTTTGAAAGATGAGTTAAATGACCTAAAACTTTTAATTTGGTTTTCAGTAAAAGGAGAGATGATTATAAAGAACATTTTAAAGCTGCATGCTAGGGACGCCTGGGTGGCTCAGTTGGTTAAGCGGCTGCCTTCGGCTCAGGTCATGATCCCAGCGTCCTGGGATCGAGTCCTGCATCGGGCTCCTTGCTCGGCGGGGAGCCTGCTTCTCCCTCTGCCTCTGCCTGCCTGTGCTTGCTCACTCTCTCTCCCTCTGTCTCTGACAAATAAATAAATAAAATCATTAAAAAAAAAAATAAATAAAGCTGCATGCTATTGTATTCTAACATAGTTTTCATCATAAGTCAATATGAAATATTAGTTCCTAAGGTCTACACATGGCTTATTTTTTTTTAAAGATTTTATTTATTTGATAGACAAGAGATCATAAGTAGGCAGAGAGGCAGGTAGAGAGAGAGAGAGAGAGGAGGAAGCACACTCCCTGCTGAGCAGAAGAGCCTGATGTGGGTCTTGATCCCAGGACCCTGGAATCATGACCTGAGCCGAAGGCAGAGGCTTTAACCCACTGAGCCACTCAGGCACCCCTACACATGGCTTATTAAAGTAATTCTTCTGTATAGGGGCATATCAAAGGTAATAAAGGTAATGACACAACTCAGTTTGTGGTTTAAAAAAAAACCTTTTAAATGGTAAATATGAAATATGAAAAATGGTCTTAAAATATACTACTTAGTATTACCAAGAATTCAGACCCTCACCATAACCTATTAAATAAGTATCACTGATATAGACATTTAGGCACAGAGATTTTGCCCACAATCACACAGCTGGTATCAGAATACCCTGGATGTAAGGCAGCCATCGTTCTCCCCAACAGATCACATATTAGGCCATAAAACAAATTTCAGCAAATTCAAAAAGTTCAAAGTCATGCCATGCATCTTTTTTGACTATAACACTATGAAACTGGAAATCAACCATGAGGATAAAAATCTAGAAAAAGCACAAATTCACAGAGGTTAATAACATGTTACTAAACAGTGAATGGGTCAACCAGGAAATCAAAGAGGAAATCAAAAAGTACATGGAAACAAATGAAAATGAAAACGCAAGAGTCCAAAATCTTTGGAACGCAGCAAAAGTGGTTCTAAGAGGGAAGTTTATAGCAGTACCCTACCGGAAAAAGCAAGAAAATTTTCAAATAGACCACCTAACCTCATACCTAAAGGAGCTAGAAAAAGAAAAACACTCAAAAGCCCAAAAGAGCAGAAGGAAGGAAGAATAGAGCAGAAATAAATGATACAGGAACTAAAAATAAAAAACACAACACAACAGATGAATGAAATCAAGAGCTAATTCTTTGAAAAATTCAACAGAATTGATAAACCTCCAGCCAGATTCATCAGAATAAAACAAAAAAAAATAAAGATTACCCAAATAATCAAAATCATAAATGAAAGGAAAAATAACAACCAACACCACAGAAACACAAAAAATTGTAAGAGAATATTAGGAAAAATTATATACCAACAAAGAAGATAAGCTAGAAGAAATTAATAAATTCCTAGAAACATATAACCTACCAAAAGTGAAGAAGGAAAATAAAGAAAATTTGAACAGACCAGCTACCAGCAGAGAAATTGAATCAATAATGAAAACTCCCAACAAACAAAAGTCCAGAACCAGTTAGCTTCACAGGCAAATTCTATAAAACATTTAAAGAAGAGTTAAAACCTATTATTCTCAAACTATTCCAAAAAATAAAAGAGGAATGAACACTTCTCAATTCATTCTATAGAGCCAGTATTACCTTGATACCAAAACTAGATAGCCCCCCCACCACCACCACCACAAAAAAAGAGAAAGAACTACAACAGGCCAGTATCCCTGATGAAAATAGATGTAAAAATCCTCAACAAGATACTTGAAAAATGAATGGGTGGCTCAGATGGTTAAGTGTCTGCCTTTGGCTCAGGTCATTAACTCCAGGTTCTGGGATCAAGCCCCATATTTTGCTCTCTGCTCAGTGGGACGTCTGCTTCTCCCTCTGCCTTTCCCCACTAATCATTCTCTCTCTCTCTTTCTTCTCTCTCTCTCTAATGAATAAATAAAGATATTTTAAAAAATCCAAGAGGGGCGCCTGGGTGGCTCAGTGGGTTAAAGCCTCTGCTTTCAGCTCAGGTCATGATCCCAGGGTCCTGGGATCAAGCCCTGCATCGGGCTCTCTGGTCAGCAGGAAGCCTGCTTCCTCCTCTCTCTCTGCCTGCCTCTCTGCCTACTTGTGATCTGTCAAATAAATAATAAATCTTAAAAAAAAAATCCAACAATACATTAAAAAAAATAATTCACCATGATCAGGTGGGATTTCTTCCCAGGATACAAGGGTGGTTCAATATTCAGAAATCAATCAATGTGATATGCCACATCAATAAGAGAAAGGATAAAAACCATACGATCACCTCAAAGATGCAGAAAAAGCATTTGACAAAACATCCATTTATGATAAAAACTCTCAACAAAGTAGGTCCAGAGGGAACATATCTCAACATAATAAAGGCCTTATATGAAAAACCTAAAGTAAACATACTTAATGGGGGAAAACGAGAGCTTTCCCCTCGGTCAGGAACAACACTAGGTTATCTACTGTCACCACTTTTACTCAACATAGTGCTGAAAGTCCTAGCCACAGCTACCAAACAACAAAAAGAAAGAAAAGGCATCCAAATTGGTAAGGAAGAAGTAAAACTTTTACTATTTGCCAATGACAGGATACTATATACAGAAAACCTGAAAGACCACCAAAAATCTACTCAAACTGATAAGTGAATTCAGTAAATTCGCAGGATACAAAATCCATGTACAGAAATCTACTGCATTCCTATACACTGATAATGAAGCAGCAGAAAGAGAAATTAATAATCCTACATACAACCATATCAAAAATAATAAAATAGGAATAAACTTAACCAAAGAGGTGAAAGACCTGTAATCTGATGAAAGAAATTTAAGACAACACAAAGAAATGGACAGACATTCCATGCTCATGGAATGGAAGAACAGATATTGCTAAAATGTCTATACTAGCTACCTAAAGCAATCTACAGACTTAATGTAATCCCTAACAAAATACCAATAGCATTTTTCACAGAACTAGAACAAACAATCCCAAAATTTGTACAGATTCACAAAAGACCCAGAATAGCCAAAGCAATCTTGAAAAAGAAAAACAAAACTGGAAGTATCACAATTCCAAACTTTAAGTTATATTACAAAGCTGTCACACCTCAGTTTACATATAACCACATTTTATAGGTCTTCTCTGGCACTCATATCTAAATTCATTTTTCCCTTTTCCAACAAACACACACGCTCCATTAGTCTCTAGCATAGCACCATGTTTCCGTCATAGTACTTAATCATAATTTATAATTAGGGATCTACTTATTTATGTGTTTCTTGTCATTCTCCTCAGTAAGCACAACAAACATGACTGTTTTGTTCACCACTGGCACATTAAAGGCACTTAGTCAGTAACCTTTGAATGACTGAATAAATCATCTTATTCATTCCCATTGCGTCAATTCTTTGCACCCCTGTCCACCTCCAGAGTTCCAAATACCTATTTCGAAAAGCTTTCTGGACATTTCCATGTGAATGTCACCTCACATCCAAATTCACCATGCTCCAAATTCAACTCATATCCTACCATTTTATTTGGTAGGATATTACCTCATATTAATATCTCAAAATGGCATATATTATAAATGTTTTATTATTATGCACATATGATAAGGTCTTATTTTCCTACTGGAGTTTGAAGTTACTTAAGGTTGCTTGTGTTCACATTCGTACTCCTCCTTGCGTATTGTTCAAAGGTTTATATGAAGTGAATAGTAAGAAAATATTTGCTGTTGGGCACTGCTTCCAGAAATTTAAAACCAAATGAATGCTGATTTACCTTCCCGCCCCAGGCTCTGTCACTGCTAAGGCACCGATACATTTCCCACTGGTCATCTGCGGGATGAACCGCTTAATCTGTTCTTCTGAGCCATAGTTTACAATATAGGGCATGATAATATCTGAATGAAGAATAAAACCTGGGCCTGTACAATTCGAATACGCTCTTAAAGAGAAAAAAAAAGAAGAAAATTTAAAGCACAAAATAAATATTTTGTTCTGCTTTCAGTTTTTTTTGATTTTCAATGAAACAATAACAAGCAATAAACAACAAAAATTATTAAGTCTTATCACATTGTATGGTAATAGCCTGTCTCTGCACAAACGTAGGAAGTTCCTGAAGATGTTCTCTCTTTGCTTTTATTAAACTTTTAATTTTTGACTCTAATACAATTAATAGTAGTCTAATAGAGTTCCATGAATACTTGTCTAATGAATTAAAAGATAAAACATTTAAAAGTATTAATCACCTACAGTTGTATTATCCTAACATAGCAACTATTTTCATTCTGGCAAATTACCTTTTCCATAAGGATATCTTCTAACATAGTTGCAGTCATGGTGTGAATTTGTACTTAACTGTTTTTTTAAGTATGTGACACGAAACAGTCCTTCTTTCTAACCTAGCTATCAAAGAATAATCTGAAATAGCTGTAAAATATTCAAAATTGTTTGTGTGATAGAATTTACTTATTCATTCTCCCACTACCAGATATTTAGATTGCTTCCATATTTGGAAGACTATGATCTAACATGACGATGATTTCTGCACACAGCTCCTCTTTTTTCTATAAAATTATTTCCCTAAGATAAATTCTCCAAAGTGGCATCCTAGATCAAAAAGCAGAAATATTTTTAATTTTTTATATGTATCCACATTTTTAATCTCCAAAGTATCGACTATCCTAATTGTTAATGCCACTAATAGCATGAGTGTCTCATTTTCAACCTTGTCAGCAATGCATATTATGATTTTGAATTTTCACTGACTTTTGCAAACACTCACAATGATATCTCCAGGTTAATTTAATTTGCATTTGATTGGTATAAGGATGAACTTTTTTCATCCAAAAGAACCTATTTGAATTTTGTTTTGATGAACTGGTGGGTCAAATTCTGTGCCCATTCATCAACTGAAATCTGTATTTCTTCTCATACAGATTTCTTCTTAAACTTGAAGTATATTTGATGGAAATATTTTTCTACTGGTTTTTTTTTTTCCAAATAGCTTTTTTAAAAGAAGAAAAGTAAACATGAAGTAATTAAAAATGAAGGGCTCTCTTTAATTTTCAACAGCACCTATTTTAACAATTTAAAGGGCATTTGCCTCTCTTCCCACATCAAAAAAAAATGCACAAGAGCATATGAAGGGTTTATTCATTCACATTTTACACTGTTCTCAATATTATAAGATTAAAAAGCGTAATTTATCCTCTTCTCAGGAAAGTGAGCAACAAATAAGACTCCACTTCCAATGTCTGAGTACTTACTGTTCCTCCCAGGTAACAGCTGCGGAATAAAGGTCCCCACCAATACCACCATGACGCTCTGCAATATTGACACCGAGCAGTCCTTGTTTTCCAGCTTTCTCCCAAAGCTCCCTACTCACTTCTCCAGCTTTCTCCCACCTGCAAACAGCAACATTTTAAAATTAGAAAAGCTTCTTTCCCGTTACTTTAATGGTCGTAATTTGAACTTATGAGTGATATTGTTCAGGAATGTTCCCTTAATTTGAGGCAATTATTGTTGACATCGGCCGTCACTTCCTATTTGCATCTGACTCTTTTGTCTTTTCTCCTCCTTGCTGTCTTCCTTACTTCTTCTTACCTGCCCGTCTCTCCTCCCTTGACTATTCATCGAACCTGCGAATTACATCCATGGATATTCATGGGTACCGTTTCTCTCAGCTGGTACTCGTAGGACGGAATCTTAGTTGTGCCACATTGTCATGGGAATTTGCCCAACTCTCCTGTAAAGGCAACTGGCCTCTGTATATTTCCTTAAAGTGCTGAATTGACCAGGATGAGCAAAGAAAAAAGGTGACAGGAGCAGCAATCTTAAGTTTACGGAGGAACAACAGAAAAACAGAAACATCTTGCAGCTGAGCTGTCAAATGAACTGAAAAGATTAGATATTTGCATAAGATTGTGCAACCTCTGCTTTTCCTCTTTAAAAAATGAGAATGGCATAATGAGGAAAGAGATGGCAAGTCGGAGATAAAGAATCTGAGAACTTTTGTTTTTATTTTTTTAAGTGGTATTTAGCTATGGCAAGTATGAGGTATATTTTTGATGATGCTGGTTAAAGCTACACACAGATACCTCAAGAAATTTTAAATGAAAAGAGTTTGATTGCCATGTACATTTTGATGTAACTACTGCCTAAAGTACCTTGGGAAATAGTTTTATCATTAACCTAAAATTTGTCAACTTCTATCATTTTTACTTCAAATCCTCACCAACAATTTTTCTGGAACAAAGTTTCAAATCAGTAAAGCAATAAACAAAAAAGAATCTCCTAGAGCAAAACTTTTTCCTACTTTCTTTCTTAAAGATATTTATTTATTTATTTATTTATTTATTTAGAGAGTGTGCACATGCGAGTAGAGTAGAGGGAAGGGCAGATGGACAGAGAGAGAGAAAATCTTAAGCAGGATCCACACTCAGCAGCAGCCCGATGTGGGGCTTGATCTAAGGACCCTGAGATTATGACCTGAGCAGAAATCAAGATTCTGAAGCTTAACTGACTGAACTACCCAGGTGCCCTTCTTTTGTTTTTAAAGAAAGTTGCTTTTCACCAAAGACTAGTGATGACATTAAGTTTAGCTAATTTTGGTCATTTTTACTGAGAAAGCATTAATCAAATCTCAATGGAAGGTATTTATTTATTTATTTATTTATTTATCTTAGAAAGAGCATATAAGAGAGAGTCTTAAGCAGGCTCCAAGCTCAGCACAGAGCCTGATGGGGGGGGGGGCAGGGCTTGATCCTGAGACCAAGACTAGAGCAGAAATCAAGAGTGGGCTGCTCAACCAACTGAGCCACTTAGGTACCCCCCAACAGTGTTTAAAAATTTTTTTAATTGTAGTAAAGTACTGACAGTGAGTGAATTTTGGAAATAGAGCAAAATTCTATTTTCATAGAAACGATGGGTTTTTGGTGAACAAAGCAGGATCAGTAATTAATCAGTTAATCAATAAACAGCCCACCCAGTAATAAAAATACTTTAAGGTGGCCAATTGCCGACCAAGATTTGCATTATGCTGGCCAGCTGAGCTTTTATATATTTTAATTCATTAATGAAGCAGGAAAAAATATGTAATTAACTATTTAACTACTTAATTGACATTTAAGAGTACTACTCTTAGAATGAGTTGCGAATTTGCAAAATAGTCTTATTTTCAATTGTATATTTTAAAATTTATTTAAATAGCTTTGGACTAACTTAAGAATCTCAGGATTCTTAAGAATCCTTAAGTTTATGGTTACACAGTTAAGTATTATAGCATTATAGTTAAGAGAGTGAAAGGTTAATAGAGCAATTAACACAGTATATTTTCTGTAGAAAACTTGCAGCATTATCTAAGAAGTGGTTCTTATTGTTCCCCTTACTCATATTCCTTTAAAAGAAAACGTGCCACTTACTCTGCGTGGTAAGGAATCACTTCTTCTTGAAAAAACTTCCTTACACTTTTCCGGAAAATGTCATGTTCTGAAGAAAAGATTCTTCTAATTCCTATATCTGTTAATTTTTTAGCAGAAGGAGTTTCTAGACGTTCTTCTCCTCCAGAATGAGAATATCTAAAAAATACACATACACATTAAGAAAATTAAGTGATTTGTTACTCTTCATATCCAAATTAACACCACTAAACAGCATGGAAGGTTATTTCTACTGAATAACATAACACTGATTCCCCCCGCCCCGAGACACACTACAGAAGTAGATAGGCTCTGAAATTTGATAGACTTGCTCAAATTTGAACATTACCACTTTTGATAGGATCTACCTCATTTAGATGAAATCAACTAGTTTGTCTTTATTCAACTCACTCTTCATTTCAAACCCATAGTGAGGACATAGTGCCTATGACTAATCACAGGTCTGAACTGAGGTAAAACAGTGTTGTTACACGATGTGAATTAAATTATGTAAAACTCAAATACCACCATAGAATAATATTGATGTTTTCATGTTACTATGATGTTTATGATAGTATTAACATTTTTTCCAGAATCCAAATTAATTATTTCATTCAGAATCATACAATTTGAAATGGCAGGTGTGTAAGATATAAACTTTGGGGATGTTATTGCCATATTAAGGGCAACCTGGTTAAAATTTTTAAAAAAGTCCATGAATCTCTGTAAGGATTAACACAGAATTATTCAAGATCTTCAGAAACTGACCCTTCCTTCTCCTTGTCCCCTGCTATTAACCTTAAGGTAAGACTGCTCTGTAGTTCCTTTAGGTCAGTGGATTTCAGGTTTATTTCCCTCTTGGGGCACTCCTAAAAGAATGTGAAAATCTGTGTATCACTTTGCATATTTTCAAACTCATATCTAAAAACTTTTTATCATATATCCAAATTTTGGTAAAGGTTGTTTTTCTGTTTTGCATGAAATTCTGTTTGGAGTTTCTCTCCTCCTTAGATGGAACCTGTTTTTTTTTTTTTGTTTTCCTCTCATTCTTTTTTCTTTTCTCTTTCCTTCCCCCTCCTCTCCTTAGTGTTTTTGTTTAAACGGCAGTTTTGCTTACCGGCATTTAGGTTGTCTCAACCCTCCCCCTCCTCACCCCCCCACCCAATCCTGCCACCAGAAATGGATTACTTTGTTTTAGCTTATGTATTTTTATTTAATACTATGGACTGAATTGTGTCACTCCCAAATACATGTTGAAGCTCTCTCACTGTGATTGTATTTGGAAACAGGGCTTTGAGAAGGTAATTAGTGAAATGAGGTCATAAGGAGGGTCCTAATCTGAGAGAATTGTGGCCTTATAAAAAGAAGAGAGAGTTAGTCAGCACTTTGATCTTCCATTACCCAACCTTTAGAATTACGAGAAATAAGTTTGTTGTTCAATCCATCCAGTCTACGGTATTTTGTTATGACAGCATAAGCTAAGTAATACACTTAATATGCATTTTCTGTCATTTTGCTTTAGATTTATCTTTCATATGCAACTTTTAGTGAAGTTTATTAATATAACTGAGAAGCTTTTCAAATGGTAATCTTTGGTTGTGCACAGGTAGTGCTACAATTTTTATATATAAGTCTGCCTTTTGCCTTCATGGTTACTACTCAGTCATTCAAATCATTATTTTTAATGGCTCATTCATTCATTTGGTCAACACATACTTTCTGAGTACTCATTATGCACCAGAACTGTTCAGGTACCTTGGGCTACAAGAGTGTACAAAATAAATAAAGATTCTTGCTTTGGGGCTCACATTTCTAGAAGGGGAGACTGAATAATGATAAATAATAGAGTAAAGAAGGAAATTATAGAATAAAGGAGAAGGTGATAAGTTCTATAGAAAAGAAAAGTGGAGCAAGGTTCAGAGTGTGTGTCTGGGACAAGGCTGAGACACGCCTGCAGTATGGAAATACTGCAATCAAGGTAGGTTAAGTGTGAAAAATGAGATTTGAGCAAGCACTTCAAGGTGGAGAGCCAAGCAGATTTTTGGAGTAGAAGAATTTTAGGACAAGAAAACAATTAGAGCAAAAGGTCTCAGGCAGGATGGTACCTGGTATATTCTAGAAAGGGCAAGGAGGCCCAAAGTGGATTGAGTGAAAACAGTAATAGATGAAGTCAGAGGTAACAGCACCAACACGTGCAGGGGTCTTGCCTATCACTACACTGTTATATCAAACAGACAGGCCAAAGTTTACTTTATCCCATAACTGAAATTGATGAAGGATTGTTGAAGGAAGGCAGCAGGGACAAGGGAACTCCGCCCTAAGAGGAAACCACATTTGAAAGGATTTCACAATACCTCAGAAGGAGGCCTCCACTCTTTTTCATGTGACAAAAAAACCTGATGATGCCAGGTGCAGGGAGACTTAATCAGATTACAACAGCCCTCCAACAAGCCCATAAACACCCCTAGACTCAGAAACTCCAGTAGCGGCATCCTTCTCGGTCACCTCCTTTAAGTCCCCTCCCTCTTCGGGACCTTTGTACCATCACTCAATAAACTTCACTAATGTTCAGTAAACCTTGCTTTGCTGCCCACCACTCCGCTGGTCTGGTCTATCTCTTCATTCTTCCAAGTGACCAAGAACAGCAAGAAGTAAAGGAAAAGAAATCCAACAAAATGATTGGTTCCAATTTCCTGCTAGTATTAATAAAACTATAATGTGCACGTTTGTCCACATAGCTTTTCCGTACTGGAAATTTTTCCTCAGGAAAAAAATGTGCCGAGAATAGGAAACAGGTGCTCTGAAACACGGAATCATTTGTCAACATACTTAGCAAATAACAGGGTGGAATTTATATTCCAGTCTGCCTCTATCTTAAAATTTTATATCCCATATTATCTTAAGGAAACCTTTGGAATATTTCTAAGCAAAATAAACCAAGATGCTAGAGAGTGAAAGAAGTGCCAGGAAAAATAAAGATATTTCAGGTCAGTCAAAAGTGTTCCAAGAGAGAACATGTGGAAGAAAATCAAGACAGTTTACAGCCAGTATGTTGGAACATCCACTTCCTGAAGACCAAGAAAATTTTATTGAATACATTGGCCCTTTTTTTCCTTATAAAGACCAGGAAATCTGTACTGAACAAAAATAAACTTCTAATTTAACAGGCCAAGTTCTATTATTTTTTTAAATCATTTACATCATAAAAGGGAGACAGTCTCCACCAGCACCTTCAGTGATAGTTGGGAACTGGTTATAAATACACCAACTCAGACCTCACCCCAGATCTACTGAATCAGAATTTGTATTTCAACAAATTCCCTGAATGATTCATTTGCACATTAAGAAGTCTGCTATAATAAAACTGTAGTTCCTGACCTATTCAGAGGGTCCCTCAGGTCCTCCTTTTTCAGAAATTATGAGATTTTCTTCCTGGACTTCAGCCAAAATAACTTATCCCAATACACGTAATACAGAAAACAGATATGAGAACTGAGATGTCTTCTACGAAGCCAGACAATGTAAATGATGTCTCTTTTCCTTTTTGAAAAAGCTACTGTTCTTAAAAATGATATTTATGGTAACACATCATGGGTTTATTATTGTTACTTTTACTTATTGTCAGGATATAATTGACATATATAGTTTCAGACGTACATGATTCAGTATTTTTATATATGGTGAAATAAGTCTAGTTAATATCCATCACCACATAATTTTTTTCCTTGTGATGACAACCTTTAAGGTCTATTCTTTTAGCAAATTTGAAATATATATACAGTACTAATTACAGTCACCATGTTGTACATTAAACTCCCATGACTTATCTTAGAGCTGGAAGCTTGTACGTTTTGACCCCCTTCACCCATTTCCACACCCTCCCCCCCACCAAAATTTTTTCTCTGTATCTGAGTTCTTTTTTTTATTTGTTGTTTTAAGATTCCATGTATAAATGAAATCGTACAGTATCCTTCTGTTTGATTTACTTCACTTACCGTAATCTCTATTGTTACTTAAAAAAAAAGATTTTATTTATTTGACAGATACAGATCACAAGTAGGCAGAGAGGCAGGTAGAGAGAGAGAGAGAGAGGAGGAAGCAGGCTCCCCGCTGAGCAGAAGAGCCTGATGTGGGTCTCGATCCTAGGATTCTGGGATCATGACCTAAGCCAAAGGCAGAGGCTTTAACCCTCTGAACCACCCAAGCGCCCTCTATTGTTACTTTTAATTAACTAAACATTTGTAAAATTTGTTTTGTAGTTATCCACTGATATCCATATGGGTAGGTACAACCCCCCCCCACACACACAAAGATCTTTGGGGGTCCTCTAACTTTAGGAGAGTGAAAGAGTCCCGATAACAAAAAATTGAAAGTCACAGTCTTACGAAACTCTGGGGAAGAACTCAGAAAAGTATGTGCATCCTAAAGTCAAGACACCTCCTCAGTGAAGTCTTCCCAACGGTCCTCAGGAGGAACAGGTACTTTTTCGCTCGCACAGCACCTAAGAGTTCCACCAATGTTGTAATGAGCTAATTTATCATTCATGTCATACTCCTTAAATTGTGAATCCTGGACGCTTCCAGTTCATCCGATGGATTTTATGTGTCAGTACCTAAAGCTTTTGATCTCATAAACACTACCTTAATAATCACAGAGCCACTGACAGACTATCATCTCTTCTGATTTAATTGATTAAAGGATTTATTAAATAAGTATCAGTGTCACTGTCTGGTGCGGCGGATGTCAGGTCTTTGCTGTCCTGGGCTGCCTTCTCGGGGGCACTCTTGCAAGCAGGTTTCATCGCAGACGCCTGACCCTTTCTTACTCCAGATCTGCGAGGCGGACTCCCAGCTCCAGACTCACTACCCTGAAAGCGCCTGGGGCACTGCTCCGCCGCCCTTCCCCAAGGTTCTAGGGCCAGAGGCAGAAGCCCCAGTCCCTCGCCAGGCGGGGCGCCTCTCCCCCGCACCTCTACGGCGGGTGCTAGAATCCCACAAGCCAGACTGGGGCCGGAGAATGAGCCTTTGGCTAACCCCGCTTTGGGTCTTCCCGCGACTCCTGGGGACACAACCGAAGCCCACATTCGCCCTGGTCGACGTCGGTCCCACCCAGACTCCGCGCGCCGCAGGTCGAGGCCCAGCCCCCACCCCCGCAGCCTCCCGGGCCCACGGCCCAGTCCCGCCCAGGTCGCCGCCCCTCACGCACCGCGCCGCTGCGGCGCGCAGCGTTCCAGGCCCCCAGCGACCCTCCCCACTCCCTCCGTCCCTTCCCTGCGACCCTTCCTTCTCCCCACTTCTCCCTCCGCTCCCCTCCCCTTTCACAGTCTTGCAGCCCGCGCGGGCAGTTCCGCTAGAGCCTCCGGCCCGCAGTCACCTCGCGGCCGGCCGCGAGGGCAAGGCGCAGCGGCAGCCCCACCAGCGTAGGGAGCCGCGGAACATGCGTGCAGCCATGGCTGGGACCACGGCGAAGGGCGGCGGCGGCGACGCACGCGACTCCTCGGAGACCCCAGCGCCGGGTGCGGGCGGGTGGCTTCTCCGCGGGACCGTCCTGCTGGGTCGTCCCCCGCGAAAAGCGTCCCGCGAGCCTTTAAGGAGTCGGAAGTCTGATGACAGCTTCGACCTCGGGAGCCCGCCTCCTCGCGGGCGGGCGGGCGGGCGGAGCGTCTCCCGGACTGCAACACCCCTCTCTGGAGTCGCAGCCAACCAAGTCGTCTTTGGAATTCCTGTCTCGCCCTTTCCTTTTTTCCCTCAACTTACCAAATACTGCTTGAGAATTTACATTTCAACGGAATGATAGTCTGAGCTGTTGAATGTACGGACTTGGTATTTTAGGGATAGGAAATCTGTGAAGGATTTTGAACTCAAGTAGTTGGCGGCGTGGAATTCTAAGGAGGTAAGGCAGGACATTGAGACCCTTCGAATAGTGGAGGAGATAAAAAGGCCTGAAAACGAGGTCTTGCGTCAGAAATGAAGACCTCATTAACTGATTGCAGAATATCAAGAAGTAAAAAAAAAAAAAAAAAAAAAAAGGAAGTTCATTCCGAACAGAAGCGTGTGAACGATATTAGCTGACAGGGGGCGCTCAGGGCTCCGTGCAGGCTTGCCAAAATTCTAGACTCGATGCCTGGGGTGGGGGTGAGGGTGGGTCTTAGGACCTCCACCGTTAGGAGTCTGTGCCAGGGTACTTATTAGCTTCAGACTATTGGTTTTTCCGGATGATCATCGGCCGATCAAGTTACCTGCCAGTATGGGCAGTAAGAGACCTTTTTCTGCAGGGTCTTGCTGAGCCTCTGAAAAACGATAATAATACATGAAATAAAAATGATAATAATATTAGTTATTATGATAATAATAAAATACTACGGAGGCAGTGTGCCTCAGTGTGGTGTGAGACTAGCCGCAGCAGCAGTACAATTTGATGATGAGGTCCAGGGTTCTGGATAGTTAGCACATCTCACCAGTGTTTCTTTTGTTTTGTTTTGCTTTACAAGCTTGATTGATTCACTTTAATTTCCTTGTATAAAAACATTGCGTGGTGGCAACAGCTGGATCCTGGATCCTCTGCATGGAGACTATGCTGTGGGTCTTTACTAGGCAGTCTAGTGAACTGATAGGGAGACATGGTAAACAGGGTCTCTTACTACCGGCGTGTTGGTGAGATAGCTATAGATCTTGCAGATGGCATAAAAGGCGGCCTTGGCAAAGTTGCCCTGGGTGGCAGTGCAACATTTGGTCTAGGTGTAGCGGTTGTCAATAGCAGTTATCCTCAGCAGCTTCTTGGGTACAGGTGATGTTCGAGCTTCTGCGGGCAGGGGTGAGGCATGCCAGCACAGAGACACAGTGGCCTGTCATGTTTCAGGAGATGGTGTGGGGCTTGATGATCTCCTGGGAACCTCAGTGCCCTGTGTCCTTGGAGAGGTGGGCCAGGACCACGGCCCTGCACATGGCAGAGGCTGTCTCCCTGGAGCACACCCAGAACCAACTTTGGCTGTTGTATTTCCAGAGAGTGACAAATGTCTTGAACTCAATCCACCAGCCAGCACAGGTTTCCTTTTGTATTGGCCCAATCTATAAAGAGAGACATACCCCCCCCCAAAAAAAAAAAAGTTGATGATCTCAGACTCCTTAATGGCAGGGAGAAGAATAGAATTCCAAGAACTTTGTCTTCTTCTTTTTTTTTTTTTTTCCAAGATTTTATTTGTTTATTTGACACAGAAAGAGAACACAAGCCAAGGAGAGGGACGGAGAGAGAGGAAGAGCAAGAAGCAGACTCCCCAAAAAGCAGGGAGCCCGATGTGGGGCTTGATCCCAGCTTGCTGGGATCATGACCTGAGCTGAAGGCAGACACTTAACTGACTGAGCCACCCCGAGAACTTTATCTTCATGTCCTTGACCAAGAAGCCCAGTTAGTGATGAGGAGCCACCTCTCATCCCCCACCTTGCCTTGGCAAGTTCTGCAGCCTCCACCCCACCAGGACCACATCTGTGACGCAGACTAGGATACCATTGCTCAAGGCTTTGCATACAACTTTCTGTAAGTGTTAGCTGTTTTTATTTTCCTCCACTTAATATACTTACATTTTCAGATGATGGTGACTTTTAATAATGGCCTTTGATAATCAATTTGACAAAAATTCTGTTTATTTAACACAAACAATTGGCTCTAATAGTGAAATTTCAGATGCAGAAGACTTGAAAAAGATAAGAATTCATTTACCTACCAGGAGGAAGGTGCCAAGGCAGAACTATGGGGAGCTATATGAAGCAAGCAGGCAGTGAAGTCAATGAGATGTGAAATGCTAAAATTCCTATGTAATGAGATGTGGTAAGGTGAATGACAGGTGGCATTGTGATGTAGAGTTAGGCAACTATTGACCTTCTGAGGAAATGTCAGAAGGAGAATGGTCTGATTCTGGACCTCAGGGATGACCACAGGCAACTGAAACTGTGGAAAGTGACACTGGTTGGGGGGTGTCTACTGTTAAGCTGCTTTATAACGATATACTGCTGGGCCTCATTCCATGTTTTGGTTCAAATGCTTCCCATTTGTGAACTGTTTTTTGTGTGTGCAGAAAAAACTTCTACTAATTACTTCAGTGATTCACTGGTTTTGCTTCGGCTATTTCTGAACTTTTGACAAGTCCAATGCAGAATACTTTGTTATCTTGTCTCCCTAATACTCTTTAACCTGGCACAGCTCCTTTTGTCTGATAAATCTTGACATTGACATTTTTTTTAAAGAGTAAAAGCCAAGTATTTTTTAGAAATAACTTAGTTTGGTTTTTGAGTTTTCCTCATGGCAGAATGGGTATATAAGTAGTGTGACGTCCTTCTCAGTATATTGCATCGGACCATCCCTGATGCTAGTTCGTCCCATTTTTGGTGAGGATAATTTGAACCACCTTAATTTTAATATCTTAACTTGGTTAAGATGGTGTCCAACAGGTTTCTCCATTGGAAAGTTAGAATGTTTCATAAAGTTAATATGTTTCATTTTGCGGAATAAGAATAAAGGTGCTTCTAAATGCAGAGCTAATTTAGTCAAAATACTAAATGTTTCATGAATGCTTTGAGTAATTTATAGCTCCCTGGCAGGAATAAGTCACATTTTTTACTTGAGAGTTCTCCATGGCATGCTTTTATTAACTGATCTCATGTCAGACATAATTGAAATGTAAATTAGGGCCAGAGTAATCAGGGAATATTCCAGTTAGGGCGTATACTTTGAATTTGGAGGTGTGGGAGTTAACAGAAGGGAGTTAAAGATCCAGGCACTACTGGAGCTTAGAACAAAATTAGGAAGGTTATTAGAGGAGCTTAGAACAAAAATAAGAATACTTACAGTAAAGAAACCAGTCCAACTGGGGAATGTATCTTGGGAAGAAGTGGGAATTCAGGTTCAGCAGGTAGGTAGTAGCTGGGAGGGAGCCTGGGACATAGGGCTTATTGTATAGATTTAGGCATGAGACTACCTGGGTTTAATCCTAAATCTCTTTTCCTTATGGGTTGTCTGCTATCATTGTGGAGATTAAATGTTCTGGTGTTTATGTAAAGGGTATTACACAGAGGTTTGCTGCATTGTAACCATTCAGTTTTGTTACTTTTGTCCAGTTCAGTTCAGTTACTCTTGGTCAGTATTTTTATTATCACTAAATATCATATCAAGGAAATTAAGTTTGATGTGGTAGGAAATAGAAACCAGGCCCAGGTGAGCAAAGTTTATTCATTCATCCATTCTCTTATTCTGTAATACTTGTTCCGAGTTCCTTAGAAGAATGTTGAGGGTACAACATTATACAAGATAAAATATCAGAGGGAGAGAGCAGAGGGAGAGAATCACAAGCAGACTCCCTTTGGAGCCCCATGCGGGCTCAGTCCCACAACCCATGAGACCATGACCTGAGCCAAAACCGAGAGCTGGAAGATTTAACAGACTGAGCCACCCAGGTGCCTTTGGAATTTGTTTTCTAAATTTGTCTGAAATATATATATATATATATTTTTTCCCTTAAAGAGGGAAAAATCAGGGGTGCCTGGGTGGCTCAGTGGGTTAAAGCCTCTGCCTTCGGCTCAGGTCATGATCCCAGTGTCCTGGGATCGAGCCCCGCATCGGGCTCTCTGCTCAGCGGAGAGCCTGCTTCCTCCTGTCTCTCTGCCTGCCTCTCTGTCTACTTGTGATCTCTGTCTGTCAAATAAATAAAATCTTAAAAAAAAAAAATAAAATAAAATAAAGAGGGAAAAATCAGTTGATATTTTACATTTTGGAACATTTTCTTTAAAAAAAAAAAAAGTAATTTAAGTATCTTTAGCCAGAACAATTTTTGCAGAAAATCTAATTGTCATTAATTAATTAATTAATCTTGCTTCTAAATTTATCCCCTCTAATTGTCATTAATTAATTAATTATTCTTGCTTCTAAATTTATCCCCTCTGGGCCACATCCATAAAAACAATATTAGTGATAGACATTTTTAAACAAATCATTGCTCAATGTGAAAAAGATCATAAAATTTATATTCTAGAGCTGCTCGGTTCTTTATTTTATAGGGAGGTCATTAGAAGAAGTAAATCCTCTGATGAAAAGCGGAAGTGATCTAATTAAGTAGAGAAGTTTTATACACATTTTAATGCATTATAGTCTTAGACTAAATAAATCTAAGTGTAGGTAATGCTGTTATAGGAATCCTGGACAGTATCAGAAGGAAGATTGTTAAGCCATTTTGCTTGTGTAATATGGAATAATTCCTCTGCATAGATGATTTTTATTGAGAGTAAGATAAGCCCTTATGGTAAGATTTCTCTAAGAATATATGTCTGAATATATGTCCTTTTTTTTTTTTTAAATATTTTATTTATTTGACACAGAGAGACACAGCGAGAGAGGGAACACAAATGGGGAATGGGAGAGGAAGAAGCAGGCTTCCCGCTGAGCAGGGAGCCCAATGCAGGGCTCGATCCCAGGACTCAGACTCTGGGATCATGATCTGAGCTGAAGGCAGACACTTAAGGACTGAGCCCCCCAGATGCCCTCCTTTTT